CCGCCGCCGCCGCCACCACCGGCCGCGGGGTACGCGCGGGACGGGGACAGCGCGGGCTGCGGGGACGAGCCAGAGCGCAGCCCGGTGAGGTCCCCGCTGTGCCCGGGAGCAGGGGGCAAGGAGCTCAGTGCCACGGAGCTGGAGGCCATCGGGGAGCCCTGGGCGGAGGAGAAGGAGGACGAGGACAGCGCGGTGGAGACGGAGGACAGGTGAGGGCGCCTGGCGGGGTCCTGCTGCGACAGGGACGGGTGGCATCTCCCACAGGGCCCACTAACATCATTATTTGTCTTGTCTCCCTGCAGCCTCTCCAGGGAGGAGGTGCCAGTGGTGGCAGAGGCCCAGGTGGGTGCCCAGCACGGGGTGGCGCTGGGGGCCAGGGCTGCCACCCAATGCCATGGTGATGGGCTGGCTCGGGGTGATGGGCTGGCTCGGTGGAGGTGCTTGAGAAGGTGGGGACAGCAGGACGTGTCCCCCTCCATCACTGGTGACCTGGAGGGGACACATGGAGGTGTCTGTGGAGCGGGGACCACCCAGGGCTCCCCTTTCAGTCTGACCCTCCCACGTGTCTCACTGACCAGCCCTGCGAAGTCTCCCACCCGGCCCCTGCTCCGGAGGGTGATGGGCTGGCTCGGTGGAGGTGCTTGAGAAGGTGGGGACAGCAGGACGTGTCCCCCTCCATCACTGGTGACCTGGAGGGGACACATGGAGGTGTCTGTGGAGCGGGGACCACCCAGGGCTCCCCTTTCAGTCTGACCCTCCCACGTGTCTCACTGACCAGCCCTGCGAAGTCTCCCACCCGGCCCCTGCTCCGGAGGTGACGCCGGTGTCACAGTCCCCGCAGCAGCCTGACATCCCTTCGGGGGAGCAGGACATCCCGCTCCAGCCAGGTAACAGCGATGGGGACACGGGCAGTGCGGTGCCGTGGAGCGGAGGGTGTCCAGGAGATCCTGCCCCGAACACCCACCCCGGCCTTGCTGCCCTGCAGGCAACCGATCGGGGGGCAGCCGCTTG